TCTTCCAAAACTAGAATCTTCTCCATCCTCACTTCTTGAAACACCTACCTCCCTTCAAAATACGGCATCAAGAGTCACCTCCTTCAAGAGGCACCTGCAGCCCAGTGGATAACATTCTGAACCTGGAGTCAGTAAACCTTGAGTTCAAATCTGACCTCAGACACTAGTGTGATCTTTGGACAAGTCACCTAAACCCGTTTCCTTTCTAACTGTAAAACGGGGATAATTACAGCATCTACCTCAAAGGGTTACTATGAGGTTCAAATGAGATAATATTGGCACATAGTAGGCACTACATAAATGCTTATTTTCTTCCTTTCCTTTCAAAAAGCCTTTCTTGATTTTCCCAGCTGTTGTTAATGTGCTGTTTCTTCTTCCCTCATCACTGTGTACTTATTTTGTATATAGTCTACATTTACTTATTGATCAACATGTTATATCTCCACATGAGAATATAAGTTCCTTGAGGTTAAGGTTTATTTCATTTTTTGTCTCAATTATCTCCAGCACCTAAGCTGGTATAAAGAAGGCGCTTACCCAATGCTTGTGGATCTCTAAATTTTGCATATTTAAGCAAACTCAATTGTGCCCTCTAAGCAGTTCTGTATTGTAAACCTACTGTCATTTGTTAAAATAGTTTAAGTACATAGTGGTCAAACATTTAAGTCTTATTAATGTTTTGTATAACATAGTATTTAAAAAAATCCAAAAACAATTCAGCAAACACTATCACGGTTCCTTGTGTGCATTATAAAATTTAAGTAGGACAACATCCTGGCCTTCATGAAGCTTACATTAAATCAGAGGGATAAGATGCACACACAGACACACAAACAGGATCAAAAGCAGTAGTGAGCCTGGGAAGATTTTTAAATAGGGCAGTGTCATGACCATGGAGAACTTTGTAAAAAGATTAGTAGGGCAGCAATATGAAGGAAGGCTTATGAAGGGACTTGTCTTTTTAAGGACCCTGTCAGTTTCATATTTAATGCACTAATCATCTCAGGGTTTTTAAGGGAAAAAAACTGCTAAAAGTCTTTTATTAATAGATAAAATATATCCATAGAAATAGTTTGTATTCATAATACAAATAACGCCAGTTCAATAATATGTCTTTCCCCTCTCACCCAATAAAAGAAGTTAGCAAACAAGGATTTGTTTGAAGTATTCTGCCTAATATTGTTAAATCAATTTCTTATTGTTCAACTTCTCCAAATCTGAATCCGGCAAATCCTAGAGTTACTGTGGCATATGTCAGAAATTGTTGGCAGGAAGTATTTGGGAAATGTATAAAAGAAACCAAAGCTATGAGCATTTTATATTGTTGCGCTTTGTGGAGTTATGGGTTAGGGTTGGGGCAGAACGGTCAGCTGGAGGAGAGGAAAAGAAGAAATATCTCAAGCTGAATTAGGATTCAAAAGGAATTTACATTGTTAACTTCAAGAAAGTCTATACAGACTTTCCTAAAGTCTATTTTGTTTCTCAGAGATTTTGCTTTAAAACTGCATTAAAACACACAAACACACACACCATACAATATTAAGCAACCAACTTTTCTGAAAATTAACTTAAATAGATCATCAAATAAGAATTTCAACTACCTTTCCTCAACACGTCTAAAACTTAGTTGTCTCAATGTTCTAACTAAAAAAATACTCTGATTTGTTTTTCCCATGGATCAGATGTCTCAACTCTCCTCCAAAAACAAGTTAATTCCTACTAACCTTTCAATAAATCTTTCTAAAAAGCCCTGACTCCAAATTAAAATAATTGAGTCTCACAGTCATAGCTAAATATCTATAGCTATAACTATATCTATAGCTATAGATACATTACATTTCAGGTAGCCCCTGAACAAAGAAAGATCCATTGTAATGTCTGATATTTTTAGTATTAACTCAAATGCTTTTTAAAAAGGCATTTAAAAGACATATATCACTCAATATTTTACATTTGCAAATAAGATTATCAGAGCAAATCACGAAAAAAATAATTTAAAAATCTCAAATTTGTTCTTCTAAATTCTGTTTAAAAAACAAAAGTCAAAAGCTAGGTTACTAGCTTTGAGACCTCAGTGTAATTTATAGCATGCAATATTTTGTTTGTTTATTTCAGGTCAAATGATGCCAAACATTTCACCTGGATGAGATGTGAGTAAGGTCATTCTCATATAAAAAGACAAGACAAAGGCTTATACATCAATGTATGAGCCCAACTCCTTTGAACAAGAATATGTTAATTAGGTCTGAAATAGCAAACATCCTAGGATCCACAAAGTTCAATCACCTATACAACCAAAATTAAACATATGCCAGTTGAATAAGCATAAAATGATTTACAAAGCAGAAAGTTTTTTAAAAATCTTGGAAATCTGCCAATGCAGAATACGGATACACAAAATCATGACATTTTATAAAGGTGAACCCTGTCCAAGAATCTTTTAAATATAAAAGTTCTATTCTGCTAAAGGGTTTTAATTTACACTTCATAAATTCATTTATTTCAGTTTCACAACTACTATGGTTTTGCTCACTGCCTTCAGTTTTTTCTAGTCTAATATCATTCATAGAATATTAATATGAGAAACACTATAGAACCCACGGCCATTTTCTAGTTTTGTAGATAAAGCAGGCCTCACATCTAGATCATGAAACTTAAAATAATTCTCTATAACAACTAAAATACACATTAAAAAGTTACTATGCTTATAACAGAATAAGGTCATTTTGAGGGAAGGTGTGGGGATTACTAGTGTCATATAGCTTAAAGATGCTCATCTTCCTGTCTCAGGACAGAAAATGCTTATTAATTAGTTTGTGTTCAAAAGCTTACCAATATTTCAGTTCTAGAAATAAAGTGAACACAAACTCCTTCAAAAAATACAAAATTTATATGGCATGATAAATCTGACAAGCTAGACTCTGAAATAGCAATAATTTACAGCATCTAGTTATGCTGTAGCTAACATTTAAAGGCTATATAACAGGTCATATTAACAAGTTGGGGAGAACAAAAATTTCATTATTTTTTCTGATCCCAAATTTGAGATTTCCAAAATACTGTGCTAAGTAGTAAAACCTTAATTTTGTACTTATATAATAATAATGATGATGGCGATTCTACAGGTCAAATATTTCATTTAAAATAGATCATGTAAGCTTTGTTTAAAAAAATATACAATTAAAACTGCATAAAAATGTATAATGCCTAATATGCTACATGAAGAGAAGAGTAATAAATACATTGTAGAAAAATTGAAATTTTTACACTTGATGAAGTAATAAATTTAAGCTTGTTTGTATATCTCCCTGGAATGCAGCAGACAACATAAAATCAGGCAACAGGATTAAGATAGAAAATAACATTTTCCCCAGGGTTAAAATGATCAAAGGAATATCTAGCTAAATGAAAATGTGTAACAAAGATACTTTTTATATAATCTCTATTTCCACTTACTGAGATACATGCTTGTAGCTCTTTCTCCTCCTCCTCCCAAGAAAGGTTAAAGAAAATATTGCCATACATGTGCCTCTCCCATCCTTAGTAGAGAAACTATTAAGGCTACCTGAGTCTGATTTGGGGGGCAAAAGTGGTGTCATTTTATTTCCCTCTCATGAATAGATAAACAAAATTTATCACCTGAAACACTGCACTGTGATTTTCGGCAAAAGAATTATTTTTGTAAACGGCTGGAAAAAAACTAATCTTTTTATGTAAACATAATAAGTCAGTAACATGCTGCAGACAAACGCACTGCATGGGGTGTGGAGGACCCGAGCTGATTAGATTACCACAACATCAGCCTGGGGCCGCCATTTTTAGAATCTCTAAAGGACAAAAGAGGGAAATTGCAGTTTTTACTTCACATCTATAAAACTACCGGAAAAAGTGTAGCATTTCATATCATTTATTGATGTCTCCTCCCTATGGTTCGACACATCTCACTTCTTTCTGTTCGGAAAGACTGCAGAACCCTCAAATCTTACATTATTCTTTCCTTTTAAAGGATGTAAATAAACAGCAGAAACTCCACTCTAGAAAGCCAAGGATAGTTTTCTCTTTTAGCATGGTTTATATTATTTAGAAGGCTGATTTAAGTGGAAACTGAGTTCTAGGAAAGAAAGGTTGATGGAAGATTGAACTGTTTTTTTTTCTTTTTTCCATCCCCCTCATTTAGTATCAACAGAGTAAACCGTTTGTTTCTCCTGTATGCTTCGAAAAGGATTTGTGCTTATTTCTTACTCAAAAAGCTTTCTTTCAAAAGCTGCCATACCGTAGGTGGTATGCCCTTAACATAACACAGGCTAAAACAAGAGGCTTGTGGGGGGAGGGGACTGGAAAGAAGGCTGGGTATGGGGGGGGGCGCGCTACCACAGGGGCGGGTTTACCCTCTTCCCTAGGGGGCGAGGATCTGTCTCGTTCACACTCATACACATAGAGGGACACATACAAACACACCCCAAACCCTAAGGCTTTCTTCTCACTCACCTCTCCCCCCACCTCCACCTGAGTAAGAGAAAAAGGTATCATAAAGGAACTAGTGAAGAGGAAAATAAGGCCTATACTGCTTTTAACATTGGAAAGGGATGCAGGTGGGAAGGAGGGAAATTTGGCAGCTGCTGGGTCTCCTCCAGTACGAACCCAACTACACAGTCACCCACCTCCCTCCGCATCCTGGGGGCCTGAACCCGCTACCTGTGAGGGGGAGTGCGCTCCTTCCCCAACTCTCACTCTCAAGGGGGTTTAACTGCCAGTTCCCCCTTCCCCAACCCCAAACCCCGCCATATTTCTCCCTTTCCGGAGGGGGGGGGTGTAGAAGGGTAGAAGGAGAGTAAATTCCGGAGAACCAGCAACGTCTCGCATCCTCCACCCTAGGAAGCCGGGGACCCCCAGGTGGGATGCAGATGAAGTCTCCCCTTCTTCCTTCTCTTCCTGGAAGCCTAAGCCTCCCCCTCCTCAAGCCCCCAGCCCCGTGAACTCCCACGGAGCCCAGAACTGACCTGTGATGTTCACAAACCAGGCACCCGAACCCCGTTATTGGACCGACCCCCGAGGTTTCTCTCCAGACGACCGCGACCTGACCCCGCGGCAGCGGCGGCCACTGCGGACTCGCGGGGTAGTAGGCACCGAGCTCCACACACCCCCTCCCCAAGCGGCAGCGCAGGCTCTTCTTCTTCACGAGTGACTGGAGGAGGAGGTGGATGAAGAGAAGCAGCAGCAGCAGCAGCAGGAGGAGGAGGAGGAGTAGGAGGAGGGGAGGAGCGGGGCAGTCAAGCAGTCAGCAGGAAAGGAACGGCGGCCGCCTGGCTGCTCAGTGTCTATGCCACCCCCTCTACTGCCGCTGCCCGGGCTCCGGCGGTGTCTCCGGCTCAGCCCCCTGCGCCCGCTCAGTGTCACTGCCTCTCGCTCTGGGAAAATGGCGGCCGCGGCCGCAGCGGCGGCGGCGGCAGCGGCGGCGGCGGCGGCAGCTGCACGGGGCCCGCCCGCCCCGCTCCGCAGGGGCAGAGGGGGGAGGGGACGAAGCCGGCGGCCGCCATCTTGCTTTTGGGCGGCCCTCACCCCGCCCCCCCAACTCCCTTCCGGTCGGTGCACTGAGGCTTCGAGGTAGGGCCGAAGGGTTGGGAAAGAAACAAGAAAGGCTTTTTTCTAAAGCAGGTGCAGCCGTTGACTACCCGAAACCAATCGTGGTATCTGGGAGAGCTTTTTTTGTTTAGAGATGGGGGTAGGGTGGAGAGGATTAGGGTGGTGAAAAGGCGTCTTCGCCGGAAGAGACCCAGAGACCGGGAAGCTTCCGCCACTCGTAGAGAGGGGAATGGGATACTACCATCCCTGGGTGGAAGGAAAGTCTCAGTAGCCTCCAGGAGCGACAGTCACCGCCTCACTGTCCTTCAACTGTGTGTACCAGTCTCCCACCCTCTTCGGTGGCAACTCGGGCTTTCTCCTTCCTTTCCCCCTCCGCCCCCTTCCGGCCTCAGGCAAAGGGCGAACCCGGCTGGGGTGTCACTCGACGCCCACTAGGGGCTGATGGGGCTTAGGAGGCTTCAGTGCGCAAGCTCCGGACACCGGATAAAAGCTGAGCTGGCTGGGTCTCGAGCCGTCTCGATGGAGGAGAAAGAAAAGGAAGAGGCCAGGGGGTAGAGAGACTACAAGAATAATACGGCCACCGTCAACGCTGCCACCGTGTTTCGGGGTAAAAAGCCGCCACCATCGGTGCTGCCGCTGCTGCCTCCTTCTCTTGGCCTCCCGGGGTTAATTTCCCGCCCGCCGACTGCACAATGTCCGTGTACGGGGAGGGGAGCGGGGACCCCCGTGTGTGGAGGTGATTGAACTAGGCCTAGGGTCCAAGCAGGGAGGGGCAAGTGTAGATTACCTAGACAAAAGATAGGGTAAACCAGGGAGCGGCACAAGGGCTTCCCCGTTGGAGCCGCAGGGACTGGGCGGCGCTGGCCCCTGCAGTCGAGGGTGGGGGTGGGGGTGGGGGTGGGGGTGCTCTCTCTGAAATGGCGGTTTCCGCCTCGCCCGGTAGCGACCCGGGGAGAGCTTGGGGAGCGGAGGTGGGGAGAGACAGAGATCAATCGCTGCAGCCAATCAGCGCATAGCTTATATAGTCAGGTGACGTTTGATTGGTTGGTGATGACCTCATGCTGCAGTAGCGGGCGGGGCCGGAGCTGTCCGGGGAGGCTGGTGCAGAGGGAGAAAGGGAGAAGTGGTGATGGCGACGGTTGCTGCGGCGGTCGCTGTGAGACCTAAACAGTGGCGATGGGGACCTCAAGCCTCTTCCTTGACCGGTTCCTCCAGGCCCCGCGCGAGGTGAGGGCCCCGGCTCGGCCTCTGCGAAGCTTAAGGCACTAGCAAGGACGTGGAGGCATCTTTTCTCCCGTCGTTATTTGTAACTGCGTCAGGGCAAGATGGCGCTGGGTCTCCCTGGGGCGCGGGGGGAGCGGCACGTCCGCGTCCTCCGCCGCCGCAGCGCATGTGACCGGGCTGCATTCCTGTGGGGTTTGGCTGAGACCCAAGCAAGGGATGGGGGAGGGTGGGGAAAGGAGATGGGTGGAGGAGATCGTGGTGGTAGTGGCCGCGGTTAGAAGAGGAAGAAATGACTGCTGGAGAAAACTTCCCCTCCCCCATACAGTATAGCCTCTGCTGGCCCTGGGGGAAAATCCCTGGCCTCACTTCCCTCTTGGGGTGTGTCTACTGTTGGACGAGGTGAATTCTTGGCGCTCCACTTTTATACCTTTCTCCTTCCAAAGTGTGGTTACATAAGGCGGGAGGCCCTGTGAGTGCGGATAACCCGTGGGGAGGTGTAGTCTCCAGATGCTAGCAAGACGCGGTTTGGCACCAAGGCCCAATTTGGAGCTTTCAGTCTCCTTTTCCAAAGAAATGAAGTTCCTGAGGTCAGGTTAGAAACATCTGACAGGTTCACAGGGAATTAAAAGAAATCCTGTAAATAGTACGAGGGGTGGGGAAGGGTATCGGCATTAATGCCTCATTTAATTGTTAAATTATTTTTTAAAACAAAGTAGACGAGAAGTGGGACTGTATTTATGGAATAACTGAGTTCCCTTGCCCTTTTGTGGGTGAAAATGTGGGTGGGGTCCAGGTAATGTCGGAATGGTAGGGCTTAATTTCCATTTAAAAAAAACAAACAAAAACCCCGGGAGAAGTATACCTTTAGTTTTTAGAGGTGTAAGTAGTGATAGTTTCGTCCTGGATAATAATGTATGTCCTCTTTGTATCTTAAGAATTTTAAAATAAACCTAATGGAATTTTGCCTGTTAGTTCCAACAGTGTTATTCATTATTTATTTTGCACACTTCGATGAAACTGTGAAATTCGAAAACCATTTCACTTCAGTGTTGTTATGGTAGCATGCCTAGACTAGACTTACCACACGGTATTTTGAAATCAACATTGAGAGAGAGTTTTAATTTCATAGGTGAGTGTAGTCTATGATAGTTGTGGAGCTCCGAAGGGATTGATATCTTTACTGGAATTAGAGTTAGTAATTTTATTTTGGGTTATAAAAAGCTTGCCAAACTTAGTCATTAGTTTGAGGTGTCATCTTGTATGATGGCGAACAACTTGGTGCTGGTTAACCTGTAACTCATAATATGCGTTTATATTACCTTATGTGATGTTAATGGGTTGTACACAAAATATGTTAGGTATGCTATTGCATAAATAAAAAATTTGGGGTGTAGCTTTTTTATACTAGGACAATGTAAGTTTGAATACCAGGTGAGCAGTGTCACAGTAGAAATGCACAACCCTCATTATTTGGCTTATCTCCAATTTGTGGCATGTATCAGAACTTCAAGTGAAGAAATAGAAGTGATCCTTAACTTTGGAAGGGAAAATTTGGGTGGTAGCTGCAGTTTGCAACGTTTCAAACCATTTGCAATTTGATACTGCTTTCCACCACACAAGAACCCTAAAGAGAGCTGAGGAAAAGCTTGATTTAAGGTTAAGGCTTAAGAGGGGTTGAAGAGAGGGCACTTCAAGGAATAAGTTTTTTAAAAACAATTTTTTTTTAAATTGCAACTCATAACCAGAGTAGTGGTATACTGTGCATAACTTTAAGATGAGAAACACTCTTTAGCTCAGTATTGTCTTTTTGTGTGTGTGTTATTGAGGTCTTTAAAATCTAATGGTTGTCTCTAAAACTTCATAAAGATTATCTTTGTCTTTGCTTCATGAATCCATTGGATATCAAACTCCCCCCATACTGTACATATTTAATATATAGAGATTTCCAAAGTAGTTTAGACACACAAAGTGTATATAGAGTTCAGACTTTTCCCCTTCTCTAAAATCAAGTGTTTCTTTAATAGTACGTTTTATTTTGACATAGCTCTAACCAGGTAACCGAGAGTCCTACTACTAAGTGTAGAAGATGGAAGCTATAGAGCCATAAGTGGGAAGCTGCTAAATGAAATATGACTGATCTTCAGAATAGTTCCAAGCTTTCCTGTATTGACCTAATGATGATAGCTGGAAAACAAGACTTGATCCAGATTAACCTTTTGGTTTCTTTTGTAGGTATCAGTCCTTCAAGCTAATAGGGTCCCTATGATAGACTAAAATTGAATTGCCATGAAAAGAATAAATGTGAACCTTCAAAAGCAAACCAATTTATTCCCTCCTGCCTTCCCAGTAGTAGTAGTACATACCTATGCCATTCATTTCCTTCTCCAGCTCATTTTACAAATGAGGAAACTGAGGCAAACAGGGTTAAGTGACTTGCCCAGGGTCACATAGCTAATAAGCATCTGAGAACAGATTGGAACTCAGGTCCTGACTCCAGGCCAGGCACTATGCATAGTGCCATCTGGCTGTCCATGGTGATACAATTAATAAATATTGGGGCAGGGGGTGGAGAGATTGGAACTTGGTACCCTTGGACCTCTTTTCTAAGACCTTTATTGTAACAATTCTGCTTGAAGTAGATTTCTTCAAAGTCTTCACTGGTTAATATTATTATTATTATTATTTTTTTTTTTTTTGCATACAGTTCTCAGTTTTAAAGTGAAAAAAGGTAGATAGGAAATTTGTCCTCAGAAAACCTACCTTCTTGCTTACTCTTCTTTCGTCCTTTGGCAAGTCAGTTAACCTCTTCAGGTCTTGGTTTCCTCATCTTTAAAATGGGGGGAATAATGTCTGACCTACCTACTGCCGAGTGAAACTCAAATTAGACAAATTATCAAAGCAGTGTTTTATAAAAATAGATGATAATGCTAGATAGTACTCAATTTGGAACCAGGAGGACTTGGGTTCAAATCCTACCCCAAAAGCTTTCTATATAAAGGACTAATCATTTTAGTTTTCTAAGCTTCATTTTATTCGAGGCTCTCTTGAGGATCAATTAAGATTAATGTATATAGAGTGTTTTGCAAAACCTTTCTAAAGGCCTTGTGATTGTAATCTATAATTATTTGCCCCTGGCTGTGTTATATCAGCTTCACCTTCTGTCCATTTGAGCTAACTTACTCAACTTCTCCTTTGCTTCCTGAGGCATACCTTGTCATTACTATAAATCTGTTGTACCTCATTGTTTACAACCCTGTTGTGTATGTGCCATTTAAATTTAAAATTATTGAGTTAGAACCTTTAGAATTTGCTTACGATTAAATGTTTCCCCACATTATATCATTTATTCAACAAACATTTATTTGATGCCTGCTTTGTGTAAAGTGAATGCTAGCAGATGAGATAGTTGAAGAAAGTAAAACTAGATCCTTCATCTCAAGGAGCTTAAAGTCAAGTGGGGATGATAGGTGTGTATAAATAATTATAATAAAAGTATCGCTTGTGCTGTTAAAGCCACTAGCTTGAGTCACTTATTGAAGACTTCGTGGAAGAGATGTTATTTGTATAGGATTAATAGAGTTTTAATGTA